ATAGAACAAGTAAACAAAACAAGTCCAGACTTTTAATGCATGCTTTTCTCACTACAGCAACACTTAGCAATACTGGCTCAACATTACTGATCATGCTGTGCTTAAACTCTTTATAATAAACACAATATTTTCTTATTCATTCCACTAGGGAATGAGAATAAATAATGACTATGATTATAACTAACATTTATTATCTCTGTGTGCAAGCAACATGGTGTTTTTATATCAATTACTTTAGTGCTTACAAGATTGATGAGGTGGTCTCATCATTTCTAGTTTTCTGTTGAAAACACTGAGACAAAAAGAAAAAACGTAACTCCCACAAAAATGTTGTGGAGCAAGGACTTGAACCCCAGCACTATGACTCCAGAGACAATGAGCAGTTACTTCTTTGAAGTCTCACTGTACTTGATCTGTACCTCTCTTATGACTCTGACTGCTTTCTATGTTGAATTGTTATTAACGCACCCAGTCTGAAGTACGCTAGTCATTGACTAGCATCTGCATTGCTCTCTGTGTCTAGCACCGTATTCTAGGCAATAATGGCATCAATAAATGACTGTTGAATTAATTCATGATTTCTTATTTTCTGTATGGTTCCGTCTATGAAGAATACAAAAGGGAAATTTGGTAAGAGTTGCCTCTACCTTTTTGACATTTTCTTGCTCTCGTTTAGCTTTTCAGCAGTTTGAATAATGGATTTTCAGAAGTTTGGCTCTTTAAGCAGAGGGTCCGGATTACTAGGAAAAAAAAACTGATTTGCATAAACAGTTTTCAGTTAATTTATCTTACAATAATTAATTATGTATGGACAGTTTAAAACTTCATTGCATGGGCCAGCCCGGTGGTGCACTGCTGTAGTGTGCTGCTTGGGAAGCGCGGCGGCGCTCCCACCTAGGGTTTGGATCCCACGTACACACCGGTTCCCGCTCACTGGCTGAGCGAGGCGCAGGAGGGACACCGAGGGTTGCGGTCCCGTTGCTGGTCCTGGTCCGGTACGGGGGCGACACTGAGGGTTGCGATCCGTTGCCGGACACGGAAAAAGACAAAAAAAAAAAAAAAAAAAAAAAAAAAAAAAAGGAAAACTTCATTGCAGGCAAGAGTCTTTCAAATGTTGCTCATTTTGCAGCTAGGAAATTATATGCTAAGATATATTACTTTTAATTCCAAGATTTTATCTTTCATCAGTAGTTTAACCTATTTATTTTCACATATTCATAGCCTGATTCTATCAACACTTTCACCACATGTCCTCTATAATATGAGAGTATAGTTTCCTGATTACAACTATCCTGTTAGCCATAGGGACTTTGAAATAATTCTGCTTTGAGCATTAAGGGGAGATTGTTCCATGGAAAACAACAATAAGGGAGGAGTAGAAAAGATATGTATCAGTTACAATTAATCAATCAATCATTACATGTTTTTCCTATCTCAGTTGCTATTTTGCTATTGCAGGCATTTCATATATAACTATACAAGAAAAAAAAAAAAAAGGAAAAATCATTGTCCTCATGGAGCCTAAATATGAACAGATGGTAGACAATAACCTACATAAAAATACAATTGTATATTCAATAAAATGTAATTGTATATAGTAATATGTGATATGGAAAAATAATAAGATTTGGTTAGGAAATAGGGGGCCTGGGGTTGGGGTTGGGGTGTGATTAATTTTAAATACAGTCATCAATAATGGTCTCCTTCAGCAGGTAATATTTGAGCAATGACTCAAATAAATGCAGGAAAAAAGTGCCGGACATGCAGATATTTTAAAGAAGAATGTTTTAGGAAAAAAGAATGAATGTTCAAAGGCTCTGATGTATTGGAGCATTTTATATGGCATGTGGATAGAATGACTAGGGTTGTGTGGAGAAGTAGAAGATGAGGTCAGAAAATCATAGCAAGGCAAATTCATGTCAAAAATAAAAAAAGATTTTAAAGGCTTTTGGCTTTCACTTGGGATGAAGTGTAAAATTATTGGAGGGTTTTTTTTAGCAGAAAAATTACATTATCTAATTTACCTCTTAATAGAATCTCTCTCACTGTGGTGCTGAGAATATGGTGCTGAGAATTCAGGCAAGGGTTGATACCTTGGATCAGGGTGACAGTGTGAATGTGTTAAGAAGTAATTTGATTCTGGATATATTTTGAAGGTATAGCTGAGAGAATTTGCGATGATACAGAAAGTGCAAACTTAATTACTATGGGAGTGCCAATAAGAGAAAAAATTTAATCTAACCAGAATTATTTGTAGTAATGTGTTAGTCTGTTCAGGCTGCCATAACAAAATACCACAGACTGAGTGGGTTAAACAGCAGTCATTTATTTTCTCACAGTTCTGGAGGTTGGGGAGTCCAAGATCAAAGTGCCAGCTGTTTCAGCTCCAGGCGAGGGCTCTTTTCCTGGCTTGCACATAGCCACCTTCCCACTGTGTCCTCACACTGTAGAGAGAGAGAAGAAATCTGCTGCCTCTTCCTCTTCTTATGAGGGCACAAGCCTTAGTGCATAAGGGTCTCACTCTTACAACTTCATTAATTTTTGTCACGTGCTCACTGACTCTAGCTCCAGTTACAGTTACATTGGTGGTTAGGGTTTCAGTATATGAATTTTGGGGGGACACAAACATTTATTCCATAATTAGGGAGGTAATATTTTGCTAAACCCTGATGTATTCTTCTTTTGAGAAGAAAAGTGATTAATAAAGATTGGAGAAGAAGGAGGACATAAATTGTTCTAAACACAAAAAAAGTAAGAAGGAATTCTGATAATTTTAAGCATGTTCTTGGATAGCAGAGTCAATTGACCATTTAAGCTGTATCTCATAGTGTGGCTGACTAGGAGAAATATAGCAATTTATGCATTTGGAACATTGACCCTTTTATAGTGATCCTTCTTATCCTGGCATACGGCATAGCACATGGAACATAGTAGCCACTCACCAAATATTTAAATGAACAAATGAAATATATAATAAATGAACTGAACATTCAATTAGTTTGCTAAACTAGACATCAAGAAGACTCATTTCTTTCATTTTTGTTTTTCTTTTGCCCCGTAGTTGAGAAGATGAGAAGTAAGAATCAGACAGCAGTGACTGAATTTGTATTCACTGGCTTTCCTCACATGCAGGAAGGTGGGCTCTTGTTCTTTATCCTCCTGCTCCTTATTTATCTGTTCATCATCATTGGAAACCTTATGGTCTTCTTTGCCATCAAACTGGATTCCCGCCTGCACACCCCCATGTATTACTTCATCAGTGTTCTCTCTTTCCTGGAGATCTGGTATACCACAACCACCATTCCCAAGATGCTCTCCAATCTAGTCAATGAGCAGAAGACCATCTCCCCAGCTGGTTGCCTCTTACAGATGTATTTCTTTCACTCCCTTGGCATCACTGAGGCTTGCTTGCTCACCACCATGTCTATGGACAGATACCTGGCCATCTGTAACCCCCTTCATTACCCCACAATCATGACACCTCAACGCTACACTCAGCTGACTCTAGGTTGTTGCTTTTGTGGTTTCTTCACGCCACTCCCTGAGATTGCTTGGATATCCACACTGCCATTTTGTGGTCCAAATCAAATTCAGAATATCTTTTGTGACTTTGATCCCATCCTGAATCTAGCATGCACGGACACTGGATCAATTGTGTTAATTAAGGTTGTGGATGTTGTACATGCTGTGGAGATCATCACGGCTGTAATGCTTGTGGCTTTGGCTTATGTCCATATCATTGCAGTAATCCTAAGAATCCGCTCTGCTGACGGACGCCGAAAGGCCTTTTCCACCTGTGCTTCCCACCTTGCTATTTTCTTGATATTTTTGGAAGTGTGGCTCTGATGTACCTGCGCTTCTCTGCCAAGTACTCCTTTTTCTGGGACACAGCCATCAGCCTAATGTTTGCAGTGTTGTCACCATTCTTCAACCCAATCATCTACAGTCTAAGGAATAAAGAGATCAAGGAAGCCATAAAAAAGCACATGTGCCCATCTACTATATTCACACATCTTATTAAATAAGATAAAATGCACACTTTCTAATTAACAAAGTACATCTCTCTCTCTCT